AAAGTCCACCAAGTCTTCCTATGCTGATCCTGGGCCCTTCCCCATGTGTCCAGGGCCAGAGTGTAACCCTTCACGTGGGATGGGCTCTCAAAGTCCCTTCTTACACCAGGGAAAAATACTAATCCACCACCAGAGGCTTCCTGGAGTGCAGAGGCCTCCTTATTGACATCCATAATTAGCACGGAAAGTGACAGGTTTCACTGTGGCATTCTCATACATTCTGGCGCTTGGCCCCTCTCTGTGATTATCTCTCCATCCCCCGAGCCCCCTACACTTCTGCCCCCAATAGTCTGCCTCCCACATTCCCGCCACAGGCTTCAGATGTCCAGTGCTGTTCCTTGACTTTCTTTCTCATGCTTGACCTCGTTTCCTTTCTCTCCGATTCTGTTTCTTTTTTGTTTTTCCTGCTCTCCCTTTTTTGCTACTTTAGTAATAAAATTGGTCTCTATATCTTTTTGCATTCTTAAATCACATTTTATTGTTTGTGGATTTCACATCACGCATCCCAATCCCACTCATCTCCCTGTCCGCTCACTTCTGTTCTCTGTCATTGAAACCCCCTCCAAAAAAGAAACCCAAAAGTTAAGTAAAACAAAAACAAACAACAAAAAACCAAAAGGAAAAAAAAAAGCTCCCCAAAATCAGAAACAAATAAATCTAAGTGCTCATTTAAATTGGTCATTGGTCTCGTTCGAGGCCTCTGGTTTCTGCTACACTAACAATAATGGGCCCTCACTGGGACTCTTCTGGGATGTCCTGCTGTTGCCTTATGTCATAGAGATCCTGAAGGTCTGACCCCTTCACATGCTCCAGAAGTCATAGATGGGATGGGTGTTGGGGTGGGCTAACTCATTGTCCTGGTTCTGGGCCTGGGTGGTAGCTGGGTTGATCAGCCAACCAGCTTTCCCTCATCATCACTACCCAGGTGAGCTCTCCAGCACTGCCTCTGCTGGCTCAGCCACTGAGGCAGACAGCAAGGAGCAGGGCCAGTTCTCCTGTTCTCATGCCCTGACTCTGGTTCACCTGCATTCACACCACCAGGGCCAGCTCTACTGCTTTACCCATGCAAGGTACAGGACCTGCTCTCCTGATTGCTGCACTTGGTGAGCAGCAGGACCAGCTCTTCTGTTCTCAACCCCTGAGGGTCATATGTGACAAGGGTGGGGGATAGGGCATATTTCCCTCATCTTTCTATCCCTTGGCATATGACGGAGTAGGCAGGGTAGCTCTCCAGCTCTCAGGTCCACAGGTTAGCTCACGTGCAACCCCACCAACAGGGCCAGCTCTATTGTGCTGCCAGGGATAGGTCTTTATGGGCCCAGTATCAACACAGCCCTCCAACATGGACACAGGTAGAGGCCCAGATCCTGGGCATCGGTGTGGTCTTTGTTGGCAGCATGAGCCATGAAAATCAGCATAGACTCAGGCTGCAACAGGACAGTGGACCCACAACAGCCTAGGATGTTGGCTTTACAGATCACCCAGATTGGTGAAGCCCCTGTGGTAACATGGCCCTCAAACACCTTATTTCCAGGTGGTAGCCCAGACCCCTGTCATCAGTTCAGCCTTCCATGGTAACAAGAACCTGGACATCAATAAAGACTCGCTGTGATAGGCCCAGAGATCCAGATATGGCCCATGTTCTGCAGTTTGGGCCCAGACAATACTATGGCCTTGGGAGGCAGCACAGGCCACCCAGGTCTGTATGGCCCCAGGCAACAGCTTGACCTTCGAAGATCAACATGACCTCAGGTATTGGCCCAGACTGAAGGGCTCCGCATGGCCCTCAGTGGCAAGAGGAGAGACAGATATCGAATTAGAGTTGGGCCACAGGAGTGCCATGGAACCAGACATGGCCCCCATCAGCAGTGCAGCTCAGACATTACCATAGTCCTGGGTAGTAGCACAGGGCTCTTTGATTGGCATGACTCCTATGGGGGTTCATCCCTCAGAGGGAGAAAGGGTCACAGGTGGTGGCCCAGACTTGGGCTGTCTACTGGCCCTCAGTGGTAACAGGAGCCACAGACATCAACACAGACCTCAAGACTGCATCAGGACCATGGACCAAGTCAAGGCCATTGACAGCAACCCAGGCCTGGACAACATCATGGCCCTGTGTGGCGAGCAGGGATCTAATCAGCCCGTTCCTCGCCTCCCTCTTCAGTTCTGCCTCTCTCCCTATCACATGACTCATTCGGCGCCTCTCTCTCTCTCTCTCTCTCTCTCTCTCTCTCTCTCTCTTCCTATCATTTCCCCACGCTGTATTCACTCACCACGAAGGTGCTGCCAGGCAGGCTCATGCTTGGTTTCTTCCTGCCCCAGGTCTAGAGGCCTGGGGTGGAGCTGTAGCTGTCTTCAATGCTCCAGAGAGGCCTAGAAGTGCCAAGAGGCTCCTTTCTCTACTTTTTAGCTCAAGGGTTCAATTTACATTTTATCTTCCCCTTTCTATTGATTGTAATTGGGGATGCAGTGTGTCTTTTGAATCGTGTTGTATAATATTCATACATTTCCTTTGCTTTGGTGTGGATGAACTTTTTGAAATTTCCTTCATGTTCCTGAGGTTTATTGGAGATCAAATCATTCAAATAAGACTACTCATTAAGAAAATTTGCTAATAATAGTACAGGTCTTGTATCTATAGTCAGAGATATACAAATTGCAACATTGAAATAGAAGAAATATGAAAAACAAAACATAACTTACCCCAAATCTCTTCCTTTTCTAGTTCCTGAACTCAAATCTATTGGAGCACATGAAAAGTTATACAAATAATTTATAAGTTTATTTTTTAAATGATTAATGACAAAATGTGCTGTTTCTCCAGGTCTACCACAAGGAGGAAAGTTCGTGTTTCCATGAGCTTTGCCTAAATGAACACACAGAGTCACTCCATGTGGCTCATAGTGTTTACTCCTTCAGCTGGAGCTATATCCACCTGGAAAAAGACGCTGGCGTCTTACGCTGCAGTCAGACTCACAAAGTTCGGGTGCATTTTATTGTGAAGGGTCCGGTTTTGATTGTGCTGAGAGAGCTTACTTTTTATTACCTGGTGAGTTCTAGCCCCACGTTGACAAACACAAAGAATCTTTCCATCTCTTGACCATGCCTCTCCTCCTGACATTTTGGGTTCCAGGCTGGGTATTTCTTTCTGAGTCTCAAACAATAGATTTTTCAATTAGAAGAAAGCCTTGTAAAATATAGATGTAAGCTTGGAAAACACTTTTTGTTTTAGGTCATGGCCAAGGACAGCATTATCCAGACTGGAAGCTACACTCACCACATGGAGCCAGAAAACTGTGAGTGATTCCCACCCAGTAACAGGACTCCTTCTGAATCCCCCCAACACTCACCAGTGAAAATTCAGCACTGAGCAGCTAAGATGCTATGAATCTTGTGTGTTACCCCCACAGTCTCCACAGTGGGAAGTTAAGGTTCAGTCATTTAATGTAGGTTATTACTTACACCATGACCTTCAGTAAGGAAAAATGTCAGAATCCCAAACTGGGTATCATTCAACCTGTTGAAATATCTATTCTGAAGATGTAACATCTGAATATAAGATTCACCCCAAGTGAGGAATCTATGCATTTACACACAGATTATCACCATCAAGGCTAAATAGGTTATCTTAGTGTCCGTCCAAAAAATAAAAAATCTGGGGGTTTCTCAACTTGGTCTTTAACCATCCTAGGTACACCAATTTTTATTCATTTGATTCATTTTTTATTGTTTTAAACTGTGGGGCATTTGGGGGGATGGAGAGTGTTTATCTGTGTGTGCATCTTTTTTGATTAATTTTAGTTTGAAGTCTATTTTGTTAGATTTTAGGATAGGTCCACCAGCTTGTTTCTTAGGTCCTTTTGATTGGAATTTTTTTCACAAATATTTATTTTGAGCTAATATCTGTCTGTGTGGTTGGGGTCTGTTTTTTGTACGTAGCAGAAGAATGGATTCTGTTTTTATATCCAATCTATAGCCAATGTTTTTTATAGGTGATTTGAGACCGGTTATATTAATGAATATTAATGTTCAATGATTGCTAGTTCCTGTTACTTTATTTTTGTTGGTGGTGATGTCATTGTGTATTCACTTCCCTTCTTTGGGATTTGCTGCTGTAAGCTCATCTACCTGTGTTCTTGTGGATGCAGTTGTCTTCCTTGGGCTGGCGTTTTCCTCGTATTAAGTTTTGTAGGGCTGGATTTGTGGATAGGTATTGTTTAAAATGCTTTTATCGTGGAATATCTTGTTTTCTCCATCTATGGTTATTGAAAGCTTTGCTGGGTAAAGTAGTCTGGGCTGGCATCTCTGGTCCCTTAGTGTCTGCATACCATCTGTCCAGGGCCTTCTGACTTACATTGTTTCTGTTGAGAAGTCAGGTGTAATTCTGAGAGTCTGTCTTTATATGTTACCTGGCCTTTCTCCTTTAAAGCTCTTAATATTCTTTCTCTACTCTGAATGTTTATTGTTCTGATTATTATTTGGTGAGGGGACTGTTTCTGGTCCAGTCTATTTGGTGTTCTCTAAGTCTCTTCTATTTTCATAGGCATGACTTCTATAGGTTGGGGAAGTATTCTTCTATGATTTTGTTGAATATATTTTCTGTGCCTTTGAGTTAGACTTCTCCTTCTTCTATATATATTATTCTTAGGTTTTGTCTTTTCAAGCTATCCCAGATGTTCTGCATGTTTTCTATTAAGAAATTTTTGGATTTAAAAATTTGTTTGACCAATGAATATATCTTCTACAGTATCTTCAACACCTATAATTCTTCTGTCCCTTACATTCTGTTATTTACACTTGCATTTGTGGTTCCTGATTGTTTACCCAGATTTCCATTTCCAGAATTCCCTCAGTTTGTCTTTTCTTTACTGCCTCTATTTCAGATTTCAAGTCTTGAATCATTTCCTTCACTTGTTTGATTGCTCTTTCTTGGTCTTCTTTTCTGGATATGTTCATATCTTCCAGTTTTTTGTTTTGTTTTCCTCCATTTCTTTAAGGGAATTTTTCATATCCTCTTTAAGGGCCTTAACCACCCTCCTAAAGTTATTTTTAGGTCATTTTCTTCTGCTTCATCTGAGTTGGGATGCTCAGTTCTTGCTGTTGTAGCACCACTAGTTTCTAGTGGTGACGGTATTGCTCTTTATATCATTGAGTGTATTCTTACCTTGTTGTCTATGCATTTCTTCCTCTAATAATTGGTATAGGTGCAGCCTGTGCTTCATGGTGTCTCTATTTCTCTAATTGGTATAGTGGGGGGCTGTGGCTCCGTTGACTGCTCCTTCAGGAACCGGCAGCGGATGCTGGCTGTGACACCTGGGCTCTATCCCAGAGGAACTTCTTGCCATAGTTTCTGTAAGCTATTGCTGGAAACAACTGCTGTCGTCTCACCCAGTGGTTGCTCCCTGTTCCTGGGCCTAAGACTTGGGCCTCCCCCTAATGCTGCTCCTAGACCTGAGGCTCAGGCCTCCCTCTGATGCTGCTTCGGGGCTGGGGTTCGGGCCTCCCACTGATCTTCTTCTGTTTCTATTCAACAGGTCTTTCATGGATATCAACAAAGCATGGCACAGCAAATTGTGGTAAGACTATGCACCTCCTTTTTAGTATGGCTGGGAAAGGCAACTCAGTATGAGGAATAGGTTCCCAAGAGCCAACCAAACATCAGGGACAGCCCCTTCCCACATTGTTGAGAGTCCCACCAATAGACCAAACTACACAACTGTCACATATTTGTAGAGGGGCTAGGTTGGTACCACACAGGCGCTCTGGTTAATGGTACAGAGACTGTGAGTTCCTATGAGACAGGTTAGTTAGTACTATGGGTTTTCTTGTGATGTCCTTGACACTTCTGGTTCCTACAGTCCTTGTTCCCTCTCTGCAGCGGGATTCCCCAAGCTCAGCCTAATGTTCAGTGTGGGTCTCTGCATCATTTCCATCAGTTGCTGGATAACGACTCTCTGATGATGATTGGGGAAGTCACCAGTCTGATTACAGGAGGAGGCCAGTTCAGGCTATATATCCACCATTTCTAGAAGTCTTAGCTGAGGTCATGCTTCTAGATTCCTGGGAGTTTCCCTTGCACAAGACTTCCACCTGACCCAAATTGTGCCCCTTTGCAGTCATCTGTTTCAACTCTTTCCCTCCATCCACCCCCAACACTACTCCTCAAGTTCCCACACACCACTATCCACCCACAAGATCTCTTCTATTTCCCTTTACCAGGGAAATGCATACCTCTCATCCCCCTTTGGGCCCTGCTTGTTACCTAGTGTCTCTGGGGCTATGGATTGTGGCCTGGTTATCCTTTACTTTACACCTAATATTCACTTATAAGTGAGTACATATCATATTTGTCTTTCTGTGTTGGGCACCTCACTCAAGATTTTTTTTCTAGTTCCATCGATTTACCTTCACATTTCCCGATATCATTATTTTTAACAGCTGAATAATACTCCATTGTGTAAATGTACCACATTTTCTTTATACATTCTTCAGGTGAGGGGCATCTAGGTTGTTTCTAAGTTCTGGCTACTATGAATAAAGCTGTTATGAACATTAGTTGAGCATGTGTCCTTGTGGTATGATTGAACATCATTTGGGGTATATGCCCAAGAGTGACATAGCTTGGTCTTGAGGTAGATCAATTCCTAGTTCTCTGAGAAACCACCATATTGATTTCCAAAGTAACTGTACAAGTTTGCACTCCCACCAGCAGTGGGAGAGTGTTTCTCTTGCTCCATATCCTCTCCAGTATGAGCTGGCATTTGTATTTTTCATCTTAGTTGTTCTGACAGGAGTCAAATGAAATCTCAAAGTTGTTTTGATTTGCATTTCCCTGTTCAACTAAGGATGTTGAACAATTCTTTAAATGTTTCTAAGCCATTTCAGATTCTTCTGTTTTTCATTCTCTTTCATACTCCATTTTTTAATTGAATTATTTGCTTTTTGACGTCTAGTTTCTTGAGTTCTTTATGAATTTTGTAAATCACCCCTCTGTTGAATGGGAAATTGGTAAAAGTCTTTCCCATTTTTTAGATGGATGTATTGTCCTATGGACAGTGTCCTTTCCCTAACAGAAGTTTTTAAGTTTCATGAGGTTTGTTAATTATTTATCTCAGTGTCTGTACTACTGGTGATCTATTCAGGGAGTTGTCTCCTGGTCCAATGTGTTCAAGGCTATTTCCCAGTTTCTCTTCTATCAGGTTCAGTGTGACTGGATTATGCTGAGGTTGTTCATCCACTTGGAATTGAGTTTTGTGATAGATATGAGTCTATTTGCATTCTTCTACATGCCATCACCCAGTTATTCCAGCACCATTGTTGAAGATGCTTTCTTTTTTCCATATACAAAGCATTTCAGTCATTCCTACTCCTCACTAATTTCCTCCAACTCCTCCCTGACTATCTCCTAGGCCTCTTCCCTACTTCATAGCTTTTTTAACCTATTGGGCTATAAATGGCATGGGGCCATCCACTGAAACATTGGCTATGTAACAGGAGCTGCATACCTGAAGAAGTCTGATGCATTCTCCCCTCAGCAGCCATCAAGTGTCAATAGCTCGTCAGCTAAGAGTGGGTCTCCATGAACCCCTCCCCGTAATGCAGCAATGTTGATTGGTTGATGTTGTAAATGTCTTGGGCAGCTAATCATAGCTGCTGTGACTTAATGAATGAAGTCACTCTCTCAAATCCTTATGGTTGCTCAGTTCTACTTGGACACACTCTCTCTCTCTCTCTCTCTCTCTCTCTCTCTCTCTCTCTCTCTCAATTGTGCCTCTTCCACCTGCTCCTATTAAAATCCCAAGTTGCCACTGGATCCTGATATTCTCAAGATTCATCTTCTGGTCATCCTTTCCTTCCCAAATAATACTACCACGGGCAAATGTATTTTTTATAATTTACCTAGTCGTCCCTTTTTTCTTCTCATTGCAATATCGACTGCATAAAACACATAAATTTATGTATGTTGCTTCACAGTAATCTTCCAAGTGATTTTTAGAAGTAGTAGATATTTGGTAGCTGCTCACCAAACTTACTGAAAATGGGCTTCCTTATCATTGAACAATTATAAAAACTATTTTGCTATTTAATAAAGTATCCAGTTGGTTCTTCAATGGACACTAAATTGGAATCATAGCACCCATCTTGAGAAGGTTTATAGATCTCCCCAGGTTCACCAGAAAGGATAACAGAGACTTCTAAATTGCATAATTTTTCTCTGAAGAAATAAATGTAAATACTGTAAACATTTAGTTGATAAAAAGAGTTTACCTACAAAGATATGCTTAGAATTTTCAAATGCTGCTTGCATCTCTGAGATCATCATGACTTATCAGCTCCCCAAGTACCAGATTGCCAACTATATAATTCTCTCTCTTATCGGAATAATAAAAGAAACATCAAAGTTGTTTCATCCCTTTTTATAAGAGGAGTGTCTAGCAGATGCTGCTTGAGACATTAGGGTGTAAAAGAGATAAGAGTTAGTATATGAATATGTAGAAATAATCAATATAACTTACCATGGAAAACATCTTGATGGAATATATCTTGCTCTGAGTGTCCCATACCTCCTGAGAACATTAGCATATGAACAATTAACCACAGAACACACCAGAAAAAAAAAAAAGTCTTCCACAGACAGACATTGCTCTACATCCCTGTGTTCAGTTATTCAGGTTTTCCAGTCAATATTCTGACCCATAACTCTGACTTCACATTCCATCCAGCTCCAGTAAAAGGAGACTTTGACCTGGAGATCCCTGTGGAGTTGAGCATGGCTCCCGTGACTAGTGTACTGGTCTATGCCATCTTTCCTAATGGAGAAATAATTGCAGATTCTGCAAAATATTATGTTGAAAAGTGTCTTCTCAACAGAGTGAGTAATTTGTTTCTTAAAATTTCTATTTAAAAAGGAAAAAAAATGTCTTAAGGATGCAGAGGGTCGGAATCTGGTAAACAAATGTATACTCAGACCTACAGGGTGACTCAGTTTCAGGGCTGCAAGACCAGGAAGCCGGCTAAGCTTGATTTCCCTTCCCACAGGTGGACCTGAGCTTCACCCCAGCCCAAAGTCTTCCAGCCTCACAGGCCCATCTGCAAGTAACAGCTTCTCCTCAGTCCCTGTGTGGCCTGAGGGCTGTGGACCAAAGTGTGCTGCTTCTGAGACCTGAAGCTGAGCTCTCCCCTTCCTGGGTGAGTACCCATCATCCTCTGTCCAAGAAAGGCCAGTGGTGAGGCTCTGAGACGCTGGTTTTGATAAATCGGGTCATTCAGACACTAGGGCTCCTTAACGTAAAAATACTACATGTAATGCTAAAGGCATCGGTAAGGGAGCTCTCATTATAAAACCCAGAAGAACTGCTCAAACACTTCAGCCAATAAACTCAAGACCAAGCCTGAAGTCAAGCACTCTGGGTTGTAAACCTTGTGTGTGACCCAGACGCTCTGTGTCTTACTGCACCTCTCCTGGCACAGGAGTGGCTAGCCCTCATAACACAGTCATGATGGAGCTTTTCAGAAAGACGCTGTCTGTGGGATACAAACCAAACAGTTTATACAAATGGAATCTTGTACTTCTCAAGAGTTCCCCGAATAAGAAAAGACTGGATGGTTTAAAATTTAAAAACAGAGTATAAGGAGGCTCTCAACTTGTTTAGAAAATTCTCAGCTATGCAACTTGTGCCAGGTTCGCAAAGCCCAAAGACTAACCCAAGGAGCAGACACTCTGATGCAAAAGCAAATGGTTTCTTTTCATTTCAAGTTGGCCAGCTAGGATCTCACTGCATGGCAGGCAAATGAGATGCCAACCAGTCAAAAAGAGAAGCTTTTAAAGGGGCAGACTATACCGTTGAAGACCACAAATTACAGAATTTCCGTGGTTACTTAAGATCATACAAAGTACAGAGTTAGTCAGTAACTATACATTTTAAGGGAGATACATTTGATTGAGATAACACAGGGCATGGGCTATCAGGGTTACAGGGTCACAGGGTCTGTCAGTGATCCCCTGGGCTGGGGGATCTTTATGACCAGCAATTAGCAATGTTAACAGGAGTGGTGGACAGTTCCCTCCACTTCTCTGAGAGCAGGGGATCTGGCACTCGCCATGGCACTCCTGATTTGAGGAGTAAATTTTCCTTTACCATTAGATGTTCCCTTTTTAGGGCCTAAGTTTTTAAACTTTTATTAATTTTTATTTTTGGTTCCTCACAACTGAAACCATAAACTATGTACAGGGTCTCATGTAAGTTAACCAAAACTCTTCTTTATATTGAAATCTGAATGGGATTTATTAAGAAAAATTACATGTTCACTGTAATTGTTTAAAAAATTATTCTTCACACTAGCTAACATCATGTTTTATATGTAAGGTGCATACGTGAATTTAAAAACAGTAATCATTAGTCCAGATCATGTTGGGAATTTACCTGTCTTCGTAATGTGTAGGTTAAATCAGCATTTAATTTAAATGATGAAATTTTATGATGCACATGCAGAAAATACTTAGGTAAATATTTGACTAGAATGTGTTTCTTTTAAATTTTGACTTTCCCCAAATCCATTCAGTAAGAGACTTTTTGAGCAACTGTTTCAGCTGACAAATACAATTAGTTTTTAAAAATCAAAAACAAACAACAACAAAACCTACAAGTAATACCCAAAGAGTTTTAATAAAAAACGTAATTCCCTTGCTCCCATCTCCTTGCGACAGCCATGCTTTAGCTGCTTGTGCTTTCAATGATTACAGCTATTTCTTTAATATTTTATACCACATTCTCTATTAGTCTTGGACAATATTGGCCTTACTTCATTTTTTTTTTTGAGACAGGGTTTCTCTGTGTAGCTTTGGAGCCTATCCTGGCACTCGCCCTGGAGACCAGGCTGGCCTCAAACTCACAGAGATCCGCCTGCTTCTGCCTCCCGAGTGCTGGGATTAAAGGCTTGTGCCCTCAAAGACCCTCGGCCTTCCTTCATTTTTAACATCATCTGTTCATTCTTCTTACTATAAAGTAGCTGTATACGTCTTCATCTTGCCCTCAAATCTATATGAGTACTCTGTAAAATCTGTACTGAGTTTTCTTTGTATAATCAGAAAATATGGCTCCTTATTGAGTCAGATAGTGTGCTGTAGTCATATCTCCTCTCATTTGTATTCATGTGTCATGACATTTAATCATTCCTCTTTATATTTGCTTTAGGGTCATCCTCCTAACTTGGTTTCAGTTCTCTAGTGTCTGTGGCAGTTCTCAGTTCTACTCTTGTCCCCAGTGGAGTTCTCTGTCACCCTGCTCTCATCCTGGACCATGTCTGCAGTCCAGGTGTTCACCCCTCTTTTGGGGAGTCCCTTCAAAATTCCCTGTTTGGTTCACTATTTTCTGACTTCCTTTTAGGGTGCTGCCTCCCTGGGGTATTCAGCATGTGCAGTACTGTTCTGATAAAGAGGGAATCACAGACGAACTTCTTTTGGTGCTATGAGTATCTAACTTATGGTAATAATTAATACTTTGAAAAGGGGCAAACCGTCAGCTAAGAAATCATGTTCCCTGAGAACTCTGGAGACATAGTGTTACGATGCTCGATGCCATTAATTCTACATCTTCCTATTTGTTCAGTATTTCCTCTCTGGAATCTCTTCAGGTCTTTTATTTATAACTGATCTCCAGAATATTGAGTAAATTGTCTAATATCTTTCTTTTACCCCAACTGTCCTTGGATTTTCCTCTTTTTTTTTTATTAGTTCAAATTAGGAACAAACTTGTTTCACATGTCAATCCCTTCTCATTCTCCCTCCCCTCCCCCAGGGGAAAAAAAATCAAATAAATTACATTTCTAAAAAGCACACTTTTTAAAAATTAGTTCAAATTAGCAACAAGCTTGCTTCACATGTCAATCCTTCTCCCTCTCCCTTCCCTGCCCCCCAAATCCCCACCTGCTCTCTCCTCACTGTAGGGCCCTCCACGGGGGCTCCCCAAAGTCCACCACATCATCCTGGGTCGGGCCTAGGCATGTGTCCAGGCCGAGAGAGCATCCCTTCACGTGGGATGGGTTCTCAAAGTTCCTTCTTACACCAGGGAAAACTACTGATCCACTACCAGGGTCCCACTAGAGTGCGGAGGCCTCCTCATTGACACCCATGTTCAGGGGTCTGGATCAGTCCTCCCAGACAGCATTCTGGGGTCCATATGCTCTCCTTTGTTCAGGCCACCTGTTTCTGTGGGTACTGACCCCTTTGATCTTCATTCCTTCCTCTCTGCACCTGGGTTCCACAGTTCAGTTCAGTGTATATCTTTGGGTGTCTGCCTCTGCTTCCATCAGCCACAGGATGAGGGCTCTAGGATGACATAAAAAGTAGTCATCAGTCTCATTAAAGGGGAAGGGCATT